TTATTATTATTATTATTATTATATTGAGAGTCAGCATGGCTTAGTGGTTTGAATTTTGGATTGCAATGCTGGAGATCAGGGTTTGATTCCCACCTTGCTCATGAAACCCCCTGGGTGATTTTGGGCAGTCACACTCTCTCAACCTCAGAGGATGGAAATGGCAAACCACCTCTGAAGAAACTTGCCAAGAAAGCCTCATGATAGATTTGCCTTAGGGTTGCCATAAGTAGGAAATGACTTGTGGGCACACAACAACAACAATTGATGTATATAGATGTGAGGTCAGAAATAATAGTTTAGTGAACTACAAAAGTATGCAGCTATCTATAAACCCATTGCTCCTCCCTACATGCAAACAGATAAACAAGCCTGGTAAGAACTGAAACTGAGGGTTGTGGTTTACTGCGGTCAAATGACTCTGGGTTATTAGCCAACTTTAAACTAGGAATTATTGTTGCCTTGTGAATCTAGGTTTGTTTGTTCACAATAAATCATATTTTCAGGCTTAGATTTCAGACTAAACTATCTTTGCCTAATTTGTCTATCCAGTCGCCATCTCTACATTGGAGGACTTTGAAAAGGCACTTAAAACAGAACTCTTCCGGCGGACTTACCCATCCAACCTAAAATAACACCAGACAATGGTCCCCCTTCCAATGAAGGAAGACCTCCATTATTGCCTGGATTTGCTTTAGTAAATTTAATTGTCAATTTTATTGTTAATGTTAATGTTAATGTTATTGTCTTATTGAATTTGTAATTTTAATGTTTAAGAATTTTTATTGTAATTTTGTCATGTTTTTATTGCCATGTTTTAAACCTTGTTGTTTTATCTCTATTGCTGTACTCCCACCTTGATCCATTGGGAGAAGTGGGACATACAAATAAATATGATTATTATTATTATTATTATTATTATTATTATTATTATTATTAAAAGAGATGTGAAACAGGAGCAACTAGCAACAATAAACTAGAATGGATAGCTTATTGTTACAGGTGAACATGGACTCTGACTTTTATTATTTGTTGTGTATAACAGTGATAATGACTTCTGTGTATAAAACAGCCATAGCAGAACATGTGGAACACACTACTACTAATATTCTGGCGTACTACTATTACTAGCACTTCAGACATTAATCCTAATAAAAGCTACACATAACAGTGCTATCTCTATCATTAAGACACCTCTATTGCAATCCACCCACTTCATTTCCATCCTAGAGCCTCCTGGGAAGGTGGGTATGGGGGATTAAACTATTTGTCATTGCATGCAGTTTGAGGGTTTCATGCATATGCTCATGATTGCATTGCCATCTGGAATTTCTAGACCTGAATTCTATTAGTACTCCCAGCTCAAAGAGAACAACTGAATCAGTTGCTGAATGATAAGTCAACATTTATCTAAGTCCCATTGATTCATTTCATCTATTCTACAAAACACATCTAAATGTATTAAGATTTAACTAAACACATGTACAGGAAGGAATAAAAAGACGTTGGATGCAATATATAGAAGAATTATATAAAAGAGATGACAAAATGAAGGACACATGGAATAAAGAGCCATATGAAGATGAACCCCAAATTCTAAAAAGCGAGATGGAAACTGCAATAAGAAAAATAATGAAAAAGAAATCACCAGGAACATATGATATTACAACTGAACTTCTGCAATCCACATTGACAGAGTCAACTCTATTGCTAACCAACATATGCCAACAGATATGGAAAACAAAACAATAGCCAACAGATTGGAAGCAGTCAATATACATCTCCATCCACAAAAAAGGAGATATGAAAGACTGCAACAACTATAGAACCATAGCACTGAACTCCCATGCAACTCAAATTATGCTCAAAATTCTGCAACATAGACTCCAACCATACATGGAGAGAGAAATCCCAGAGGTCCAAGCAGGTTCAGGAAAAGAAGAGGCATTAGGGAATTCCAAAAGAAAATCAGCATGTGCTTTATAGACTATAGCAAAGCCTTTAACTGCATAGATCATGAAAGGCTATGGAATGCCCTTAAAGACATGGGAATGCCAGCACATCTGATAGTCATAATGAGGAATCTGTCCTAATGACAAGAGGCTACTGCCAAGAAGGACACAGAGAAACAAAATTGGCAAAGGAGTCAGACAAGGCTGCATTCTCTCATGCTATCTATTCAACTGATATGCAGAACATATTGTAAGAAAAGCAGATTTGGACATGGAAGTGGGAAAAGTGAAAATATGGTGCTGACAATACCATAATTCAAGCAGAGAACCTCACAGACCTGGAACAACTACTAAGGAAGATCAAAGAACAAAGTGCAAAGGCAGGCTTACAGTTGAACATAAAGAAGAAATAAAGACCACTGAGGACCTTCACAGGTTCAACCTACACAATGAAATAGAAATAGTAAAAGAATTCTCAAACCTGGGATCAAACACTGATAGAAATGGGGACTGCAGTCAGGAAATCAGAAGAAGATTAAGAATAGGGAGGGTGGCTATGAAAGAACTAGAAAAGATTCTGAAAAGCAGAGACATACAACTGAGCACAAAAGTTAGAATCATAGAAGCCATTGTATTCCCTATTACCATGTATGGATGTGAGAGCTGGACAGTTAAGAAGATGATAGGAAGAAAATAAATTCATTTGAGATGTGGTGCTGGAGAAGACTGTTGAGGATTCCATGGATAGCCAAAAAGATAAACAAATGGGCCTTTGATCAGATGAAGCTGGAAACCACTCTGGATTCCAAGATGATCAAACTGAGGCTATCGTTCTTTGACACATCATGAAAAGGGAAGACTACTACTACTACTACTAATAATAATAATAATAATAATTGTATACCCCGCCTTTTGCTGAAGTAATCAAGGAAAAGTCAACAATGCTGGGAAAGGTAGAGGGAAGTAGGAAGAGAGGAAAGCCACATGCCAGATGGATGGACTCTATTAAGGATACGGGTTTGGAGGAATTAAGCAAAGCAGTGGAGGACAGAAGGCCTTGGAGATGTCTCATCCATAGGGTCACCATGGGTCAAGATCGACTTGAGGGCAGTTAACAACAAAACAAGAAAACACATGTACATTGAACACCTGTTTATTTATAAATACAATTTTTAAAATTACTGTTATGGCACAAAACAAGCACATTTGCCTTTCTTTACAATAGCAATATATCTTAGTTACATTTTAGCTATGGGGGAAAGAAGAATTAATTACAAATAGTCCAATGTTTGTAACCATTTACTTCTGGCCCCTGTTCAATTATAATACTACACAATTATTTTGAAGTCTGCAATTTGAATGCACAGCAGAGGTAATGATGTGGAACTTTAAAACTTTCAAAGATTGTGCATGATGGTTACTCAGGAGTTCTTATCAGCATTATATATATCACCACTATCCCCTTCAATCTTGATCTGGCAGTTTTTGTTTATTCTTGAGGCTGGGCCTAAGAGCTTGAAACCATTCTTAGATAAAATCATTTGTGTTTATTCTGAGCAACCACAAACTAAGAATGTCACTGTACATATAAATCAATACAGACATGCCTTTCCTTTGCCTGATTCCTATGTTCCAGGATGCGTACAAGATGGACAAAGTCATAGAAATTACAGTTAGGAGAAAGGGAGAAGGGAAATAAAAGCAGACACTGATATTCTTTCCCCCATTTATATTGGATGGGAAATAGAACAGTATGCAATGCAATCCTATTCATGTATACTCAGAAGTAATCTCCAATAAATAGATGTATATGTGGCAGTAATCTAAGGTCTATAACATAATTATGGGGCACTTACTTTATTCATTGATTAAATTAAAATCCACTTTTTTCTACTCAACACAGCTCTCAACAAAATTAAACAAAAATTACAATTTAAAATAATTCCAAATGTCAAAGTACAATTAAGTTTAAAATATAGTTCAACTCAATCAGAAACAATTGTAAATGCATCAATAATGCCTATACATTTAATATATATAAATTATCAATCTAGGGGGTTGTATTAGAGAAACTGTGGTAATCAAGGAAGTTAGAAGCACATATGGTGGGGGTGTCCAAGAATATCTGCATATTGGGACAGAGATATTTGGCATGATATGTAATATCACCAATCAAACTATAATAACTTCCTTGGCCTTAGGCTTGCTTTCTTTGCTTCTTGGTCATGATAAGCAATTAAAACATCAATATTTAATAATTTGTTTTTTATTGCAAGATTAGAGATTACTTGAAACTGATGACATAGTGGTTAAATGCCTGTACTGCAAACATTCATTCACAAACCACAAGGTTGTGAGTTCAATACCAGCCAGGGGCTCAGCGTCAACTCTGTCTGGTCTCCTGCATGGCAGGAGTTCCTGCATGGCAGGGGGTTGGACTGGATGGCCCTTGTGGTCTCTTCCAACTCTATGATTCTATGATTCCTTCTGAGGTGGCTAAAATGAGTACCCAGCTTGTTGGGGACTATAAGTTTACACATTGTAAACCACTTAGGGAGTGCTTAAGTGCACTGATAA